GTGAAACGTCTTCAAGCAACTTAAAGAAGTCCAGACGCTTTTCTTTGCAAGCTCCTTTGACTACGATGACCTGGATGACTGAGAACCTTCACAGACATGTCAGAGTTCACCGCTCTTCAGCCACATCTATAAATCCTGAGGATTAGCATATCGCTCAGCCATTAGCCGCGCAGTCACCCGACGGGCGTTCAATTCTGACTGTCAGCACATTAACACAGAGCTCTCATAGCTGCACAGGTGTGCCGTGTCCACACCACCATCGTTAGCAGGGCGCCCAGCGAGGCTGCACGAGCAGTAACTCCACCCCTCTCTGTTCCTTTTCTCCTCCACTGCTTCATGGACAGCAGCTTTCCATGACTCCTGCTTCATAATAATGCTTCTGTATCTGATCCTGGGCCTCGGAGAGGACACGGTTCGTCTGTGTCTGAAAGAAGCTGTTTTAGCCCCTCCCCTTTAACAGCTTGCTTCTGATTGGGTTACCTTGCAAACAGCAGGTTTGACCAGTAGGTGGATAACAGGAACATCTGTTCTCTGATGTTATCTGATCTTCTGAAGGCCCCACAGTCCCACTGAGGACCTCTGTGTGTGTGAGTGCCTGTTTACATATGGTTGTGGGGACCAACAGTCACTAACGAGGACAAAAATGCCCGTCCTCATGAGTTTGAAGACATTTTTTAGACTCAAAATGTGGTTTTAGTGTCAGGGTTACAGCTAGGCTCTGGGTTATGGTAAGCAGCAAGAAAGCATTATGTCAATTAGATGTCCTCACTAAGACATAAAAACAAGAATGTGTGTGTTTGTGTGCTGCAGGTCAATAGGAGCTGCCGAGGGCGCCCCCTGTAGGCAAGCCCCTCCTCCGCTCGCTGGTGTCACAGTGAGTGAACATGAAGGTGAACGCTCTCCTCTCATCACCTCCTTCCTGTCGTCTCCTCACCTCACACCTGACAAATGAAAGGTGGAGAAGGCGGTCCCAGAGGTGACCAGTCCACTCCTCCTCCTCTTTATTCCCTGGCCTAGAAATGGAGGAGAATGAAGGAGGCGTCACTCCCGCCTCCAGTTTTGGATCTGAAAATACCGCTTTTCTTCCTCCTCCTCCTCCTCAGAAACATGATGGAGGCCGCTGGTGCCAACACCTTCCTCGTCTCCATTACAAGGTGTGAGGAGGAGACAGGCGGTAGAACGTGGAGGAGTCTGAGCATGCCCACAAACTGCTCCCCGAGGAGCGAGCGCGTCGCCATGGTCACATACAGCTCACCGTTTCTGGTCATTTCCAACATGGCTGCCATGTAATCAGCCCTGATCTGAGGAAAGCTGATAGAATGATCACTGCATGCTTCGAGCACCAGGCCACGCCCGACACACGCTGCAGAGGACGAAACATCCAGCGTACAATGACGTGGCGATGGGATGACAGGCTGAGAGAGGAGGAGGTGGCGACCTGCAGCCGGGAGCGCCGGTGATGAAACGGGTTCAACTGACCAATCAGATTCACGTTCAGTCAGAGATCGGAGCTCAGAGCAGCCAATCCAAAGTCAGGAACTCTGAGGCACGACAATCCCAAAACCACGACACAGGACAGTTACAGACGTGTGCGACTGCAGAGGACGGCGATGTGTTCAGGGACCTGTGCATCACAGGGGACACATCAGCTCCAACACAAGCACTACATGTTGCTACAGATACGTGGCGAGAGCGCGCTCACACAAACAGTAGCTACAGTGAAAATACCAGCAGCTGATCCAGACGTTATCCTCTGCCCTACACTACAGGCCGCTGCATCAAACACATTCACACGGGTGTATTCTGGCACCATCACCCCAACACGATCGCACAAACAGGCATTTCCTCTGAAATCAACACGAATCAAACAGCAGCAGGTAAAAAAGCTCAACATCACAAAAGTGCGACGCAAAAGATCAAAGACGTGAAGAACAGACAGGAAGTCCCAGAGTGGGAGGACGATGTGTGTCCACTCAGGACGCCAGTCATCGTCACTCTGCAGCTCTGCCCAGTTTAAACAAACCTGCTTTATGAGACTGACACCTACATTAGGAGGAGCCCGGCTCAGTCTAATCTCTGGGAGCTGTACCCAGCCCAGGGGACAGCTGGGGCCAACTAGGGGCTGGTCAATTTCAGGACTTGTCCAGGTGTGTCTTTGGGAGGTGATCAGGTGTGTGTGTGTGTGTGTGTGTGTGTGTGTGTGTGTGTGTGTCATTCCTTAAATCATTAGTTTGCTGCTCGGAGCCAAAGAAGCCCTCATGTCAATTCTCATTCAGTGAGACAAGCCTGAGACCCCCCCCTCTACTTAGGGGGGGGGTGGCTCTATTTAGGCCGTCTTTGAGACATTCTGTCTGGAGTCTCGTCACATTTCCTCAGGAGGTCTCTGTGACAGAAACTCATTACTATGCGCAGGTACGCATGGAGGTGTTTAGGTTTGACCCTTTTGACCCTTAATGTGCCGCAGGACTGTCTCTGCCCCTCGAGTGTGTGTGTCACTGTGTGTGTTGTGCTAGTTAAAAGCAGCTGGATGTGCACACCCCTGTCAGCGTTTTGTCAGGGTGGAGGGCTAAGCTATCAGCTAATGCTAGCAGAGCGTCACACAAGCTGTGTCCCAAAACGTCGGCTGCATCCTTCTCGGTCTTCGAAGGACCCGGCCCACGTAAACCGCGAAGGCCGGGTCCTTCGAAGACTGAGAAGGCCGGATGTGACTGCTGGTAATTAGACCGGCATTTGCATTTGTTTGCCTCTGCGCTAAATCCTGCTGGGTGCAGGTATCAAGGAAACAGCAGCGCCTCTGTGAAGAAGCAGACAGGAGCACAAATGAGAGCTGCTTTCATTTCATCCAGTAAATCAGCCTCAGCTCATTACCAGCTGTGCCGCCGCCGCCTCCAGCCGTTTATCCTTCAAACGCGTCGATATCGCCCAGCAGGAGCCGTTTAAGGAGGACCTGCGTCTAATCCTGCACCCCCTGACTCCACAGGGCCCCTCCGGCAGGTGCTGGTCTGGACTTCACCTCCACCCGTGTGATCCCAGCCCTGTCCTGCTGTCTGGGTCGTCGTCCTCGGGGCACATGACCTCTCACACTCGTGTACACTGATTTATACAAAGACCACATTCAGATCTGGTTGCACACGATCTGGTTCAGCGGCGTCCCGTCTGACTGATTACACATGACTGCAGGGCTGATCGATACGCCGAGGGAGCAAACGCGCTAACGTGAACATGCCAGTGCTCACAGCGACGCACAGCTTAAAGTGTCCGTCAGCAGATATTTCATTTCTGATATTTGAACAGCAGCCAATCAGATTTTTTCATATTTGGATAACAGCCATCACAGAATCCATCTTTACTTTACAGTCTGTGTGCCTCGAGTCAGCTGAGCTCTGCTGCGCTCACGGACACTGGAGATAGGAATCAGCTGTTGACAGCTTCCTGTTTGTGCGCCCATAAATCACCAGTCAGCCGCCCGAGCAGCGGCTCACCTCTGTGGCCCGGTGACGCAGGATTAACCATCAGAACCACCAAAGAGTTTTTAGTGAGACTGGTATCACTGGGGTCGCCTCCCTGCCAGCTGACGCGTTTATATTAAGCTGATCAGTG